CTTTTTTCGCTTTTAAAAGGAATCTATAATACATGCGCTATACACACACAAGTAAATAGACAAGCAAGTGTAGCACGCATACTATTTGCAGGATTTTTTGGAATTTTTTCATCATCAATAAACAAAATTCTTTTAGACGCACAAATAAAAGAATACAACACAAAAATAGCAACAAGACAGAACACATACGACGAAGAACATAACAATGTAGACATAACGCCTACAGCACCACAGTTACCACCCCTACCACATAACCATCCACTATCACTAGTCCCACGAAATTTTCGAAATTTAGCAATAACACATAATCCAAATTTTAGACCAACCATATCACAAAGTCCCATTCAACATATAATGACACACCATCCACTAGATGAAAATACATATGAACAAATTATAGAACAACCCCATACCACCGCTTTTCAGTCTCAAAATAATAATTTTTTTAGCCCACGATGAGCCGACAACTTGGATCCCTACACCGCTCAAATTCCCACCCGACCAACCTCAACACTCCAATTACAATAATTCCACTTTTTGCTTTCCCGCCACCCGATTTCCCAACCAATAATGTAACATCAGGCATGAATTCAGACACTAACTCACATATCTCAGTTTTATACTCCATTTCACAACTCAATAATCCAAATATTGAAACCCCTGATGAATTTGCAGACTCTGAACCATCTCCATCCAATAATTTTCAAACCAACTCCTCAGTTTTTTCAAAACCCCCTTTTCAACCAATCCCGTCAAATAACCCACTCCCATCCATTTCTACACCCTCTTATGCTTCACAAGTCACCCCAACCTACTCTTCATTTCATTCAGACCGATCATCCAATTCTCCAAATACTCCGCAAATCTCCCAGGAACTAGATAATTTTATCACCCTACAACAACAACCCTTCCACCTTGAAAACCCCACTATAAATCAGATTTCATCCACAATAGAATCATCAAACCCACCTACCCCTACACCCTCTTCAGCTTATACCGCATCATTAGCACCATCATCCACATCCACCGAATCATCAAATAGCACTAATAGAGCTTATCGCACTTTCAAAAGAAAATTCCCGAACCATCCATTTCCAACAAAACCAGGAACAGCCCGTGAATATATTAATCATCCAAATCACACTAACACGAAAGATTTTTTAGCAATCACCCTACCTTCATTTCCACAATATACTTTGAACACTCCTAACAACATTAACGACACACGTAATTTTGTAGATGAATAAGTTTTAATGCCTACACTTCATTGGACATCATATTATCATTTTACTAACCCCCTTTGCCTACCTTTATCTAATACTCACATCGATATAGAAAGAAATAAAGATATGCTATATCGACTCACCACACCACTAACACATAGACAATTTACTTATATAGGATATAAAAAGTCACTAAAAACATACACTGCACCCCGAGCTAACGAATACACGCTAGAATATTACAATCACAACATCATCCGAGCTAACCAAGACCAATTTCTAGATGATGACCGTTTCGCTAACCACAAATCACAGAAAAATTTTTCATCAAAACACCATATGTATTTACACTCAATATATTTGATCGCAAATTCGATCACATCATTTCTGAAGCACTAACCGACACACAATCTTACGAAATTTTTAAAGAAAAATTTCAATTTTTTTCACTAACCTTTCATTTCCTTGCACCACACGAACGAGATTTGCACTGCTCACACGATATTATGTTACGAACTAAACAAACGCACACATATACATATTATCGCTTCATACAAAATCACTTTGATCTACACACTCCATCAAGACAACCACACCACCGTTTTCAATTTATTAACTCTAAATACACTTCACCATTTTTTCTTAACTTCACATATTGCGTCAAAGATACTAACCTTCACGATATTCTTCGCAATTATGATCCCATAACCCAAATGTATATTTTTTGTCCCATCACAAAGACCTTCAACGCAGAAGAATCCAGACCCTTCCTTATCCCACATGAATTTGTTCAACCTATAGAAATCCCAATATTAGAATTCATCCACAACACTAAATACAATCACAAATTATATAATCTCATCCAAAACACACCTTATGATTTTGCAGTTGGCACTGAAGAACTAAAAAACATTAAAGCACTTCAATTGCTTTGGCCACTGCTTCAAACTAAAAACATCATTCGCATACTAGCAAAACTACTAACTAACTCCGACATAATACACGACATCTTCCCCCACGGTTTTTTCCCCGACGACTAACAGGTAAGTATATTTTATGCATATTCTTAACTAATAAATTCAAATTAAAAAACTAACCATTCTTTATCCATGTCTCATTTTGATTTTTAGTCTTCATCTCACGATCATCTGCAAAATACACAAAAGAAAAATAAAAAATAGAAAACTTCTTCAAATTGTTCAAAACTCTAATAATCTTTTGCACCAGCTAAATTAAATAGAGTTCATACAAATGTAGTAAATTAATTTATAAATTATTTCCCTAAAAGCAGTAATTCTAATAATGATGAAAATTTGTAACTTAATTTTTCCCCAAAACTAGCAGTAAAATTGAAATTCTATAAATTGATAAGACGAAAATGCAGTACTAACCTTTTGATATTTCCATTCACTCGCACAAGAATTCTATCCATACTCGCACAGCTCGCCCACGAAGAATTGTTTAAATAATGAATTTCAGTTTCAAGCTTTCACACTCAACAACTCTAACACACGAAAACAAGTTTCAAACTTTCCTTTAACCCGGTTGGAAAGGAATTATATACTAAACAAAACTAACCAACGCAGCTTACTAAACACCACAACACATAGAATAACAGCATGACTAAGAAAAGGAAACCAACGGTACCCAAACCGGATTAACCCAGTTTAAAACTGGATAATTTATTCTTTTGAAGACTATTATAAATTCTAAGAAAGAAATAATAAAACACAAAAAAGTCGAAAGACAAACCCATACCAAAAACAATTTGATTTTTGAAAAAAGCACACAACCAACGAAACATAAGAAAAACCACTATAAACCCAACATAAAAAGTTATCACGTAACAGGACCTCTCACAGAAACCGCACGAAATCATACTCCCACTCCTGGCCTAACCCACCAGAGAGGACGTCCTGAGCATGCTCTATAGCCGGCCTAACCCACCGCGCTACATCCACGCTTTGTGACCACACTTCTATTTTTAATAAGAGGTATTCAAGGGTGAGTAACTCTTCAAAATAACCGAACTAAAACAAAAAGCTTTTGTGAAAACACCTAACCAAAATCATAATTAAAACACCAAACTAATAAAAATTTTATAAAATGTAAATTATACCTTGCAGTATATAGATCAGCATATAACACCAAAGACGAACATCCAAAGACAAAATGACCCCACTACACTCGAAGAAGTATGGCCAACCACAATCAATATGCCGCCCACAATCACAACTCAAAGGATTTAGAGTACGACTTGACTTCGCAGAAAAGGACTTCATTGAACTAGAACAATGACCACCTCGATGTTCAAGTATACGTACAGATCCGAGTAACCAGGCATCCCCTCCACGCACAATCTCCACACCATTCCCAGACAAGGTCAACCCAAAAGAAGTTCTCTACATGGAACAGAAAAACCTGTCATAGCCAACCATTCTGAAATCAGATTTGAGTTTGTTGCGAAAATCCAGTCGTTGTCATGAGAAGACACAGCGATTGAACCTGGAACTTCTCTAACAAGAGAACCCAGAAGAATTATGATGTTCGCCAAATACCAACGTCCATCATCCATCCTTTGAATTGCAGAAAGACTATTCTAAAAAACTCTGTAAAACCCGGATGGGTGGAACCTGATCTAAACTACATTTTATGATTGGATAAATTAGATATTTTACCACTGTAAAGTATTTAATATTAACCAATCATGATCCATCTAACTAGCAACCCACTTATTTGTAAGTGCTGAAATTACTTGTAATTTCAGCACCAGAGAGATTTGAATTTAACTTAGAATTTAGTTGCCTCTCCTAAGGAACTTCAGCAGCCGCAATAAACCAGTATACCCTAGATCTATTGAGCCTAGCAGAGACTAGTTAAACAACCTGAGACTAGATAGTATAAGAGTAAGATTAGGATCGGTATTAGACTAAGAAGTTGCACGAATCTATCCGGCCGAAAATAAGATAGCGTGACGAGCAGACGGTGTACCCTATCCGAAATTACTCTATGAGTTAACCACATCGGTCCTAACTCACGACATCAAGAACCCTATGATTTTTTTTGAATGAATGAAACACCGGCCAATGTTTAAACTGACAAAAATGTTACATCAAAGTTTTTTACCTGTTAGCTCGCTTGAGCTAAGAAATCAAAAGAACCACATTATTAAAAAGTTTTGTCCGGTTTTTTTTTATCTTTCCTGGTGCACTTTTGTTTCACTTAGGTTTGGTCACGAATACATCCCGAAATTTTTAAGATAACTATTTTAAAAAAATTTGTTTTTCTGGTTTTTGAGAAAATGCTGGTCATACAATTTCCATCTATGAAAAATCACCAATCATAGGTCTTTCATGCAATTTTCTGTACTTATGGAATTAGCATTTTTGACTATCATTTTTCCATATATGAAATTTGTTTGATTGTCAACACGGGATATTTTGCGCTATCAATGTGTTAGCGGAGATTTATTCCGCTATACAAATTGTTCCAAATTGGTCGAAAGAAGCTTATTTGCCATAATTGATTTGTTAGTAGGGGAGAAATGTTTTTTTTTTCTGCAGATGAGGCGAAAGCCAATATCACTAACAGGTTATAGAACAGTTTTTCTCGTAAATTCACACTGTTTTTTCTGTTTTTGAGCTTGTACCAAAAACAAAAGAGCTCTCTACTGAGTTACAATTCAGAGGCCAACTAAAAACTCTAGGTCAGAGGTTTCTAATTATTCATCTTCAATTGAGCGCATTGGGAGCTTCCGATTGTGATTTGTGTGTGCAGATGACTTCATAGTGGAGTGTTGGTTTGAGGACAAGAACTGTTCAGACTGGTTCGAGCCCTTCCCCACCCTCTCCTTCGGCACCTGTCTCAACCTCACCCAGCCACCCCCCTCCCGCAGCGAGGAGGAGTATCACCCGGTGGGGAAACTGCAGATGGGCTACCATGTCACCTTCTTCCGAAACCCCCTCAGAGCCAGTGGGATTGTGGAGCCGGTGGGGGGCGTGTGGGTGACAGTGTCTGACCAGAACTACCTCATGGTTCCCGAGGTCCACTCCTGGACCATCCCCTGGGGCCAGGGCATGGAACTGAGTCTGCAGAGGCGCGAATACTTCAGGCAAGTCCAACACGCCACCCCCTTCTATCTCTCTCTCTCTCTCTCTCTCTCTCCCTCTTCCAAACAGACATTTTTAACCACACCATCCGCTCCCAGACTCTTTCGGCCATGATATGAAACATCAAGTTCACATTGAGAACCGTTCATTGACTACAAGTAGCGCAGTTGAAGCATTCCATTGGACACTTTTTTGGAACAAGGAACATCACTCAGCTATTTGATTGAAGCAAGTGGCACACTATACAATCTATCAGGAGAACGGTGTTGCTCTGTCGTCAAAAGCAACCCGCATGCATTATTTCCTCCCAATTAAGACAGAGTTAGTTGGTTGACCGAGTCCCTTCCTGCCACATCTTTATCCACATTATACTCAGTCGAACAAAGACAGCCGACACAATTATGTGGTTGCTACTCCAGCACTAGTCCCTGTATTGCAAAACTGGCCTGTTGGCCATTTGCTCTTTAAAGCACAGACCAATTTGAGGAAGCACTGGTGTAGTTTAAGTGAGCCACAAGTATTTGAGTGTGTTTGTTGATTGCAGAGTGAAAAACTGCACGAGCGAGAGAAGTGAGTCGGAGGACCTGTGCAGCTTCATGTGTTTGGACGAGGTGTTCCTGGACAACTGCCAGTGCACATTCTCCCCCTACGGCAAACACACTCACAGGTGCTCGGCCAAGGAGTCCGAGAAGTGCATTCCCAAGGTCGCCCAAAACTTCGACAACTTCATCAACTGCAAGCGGGGCTGCAAAACACCCTGCGACTGGAAAGGGTACACGGGTCAAAGGTCAAATATGAACTTCCCCTCTGACTCCTTTACACCCTACCTACTCATGGACATTCTGGACAACAAAGCTGACTCTGCCACTGCCAGATCCCTGCGTCTTTACCTGGAGTGGTGGAAACAGTTCACAGCTGGATCCAACATCACCTACGAACTCTCCACTTTCATGATGCTGCAAAACATCCGACGCAACTTTGCATACATTCACATATACATGGGCAAAAACAAAGAGGTTTGTCTGCATGGAAGTTCAAACTTTTGAAGAAACTTAGTTCGCTCAATCTTTGCTATCTTTGAAAATTATTCGAGAATATTTAAGATCTTTGCGAGTTTCCAAGATGACGGTTCTGGGAACTGTCGGAATATTTATTAATGCTTATTGGGTGTTTTTTTTCAAACCAATTTTGACTTGTTATATAACCGTTTTCGACGGATGACGCAACTTTTTATTTTTGGCATTTTTTCTGCAGGTTTTAAAGTCTAAGTTCAATCTTATATTTCCACTAGTGAACATTTTTGCAAAGATATGAGAGCTGAAAGTTTCCAATGTGCCCGAGTTGGAATACTTAACGCGTGATGTAATTACGAGGCCAAGCTGTGCAGTTTGTGAATTTTAGCTTCCGCAACAGGGAAAAATTAGATTTGTCGCAGAATCCGCGACACTGCTACTTTTCGTTGATCTTCTTTGTTGTTCTGGGTTCCACGAACAAATAGTTAAACCAATGTACCGCTTAAAATTGCTCCGAAACTAGGCAAGTTTGTAGAATCCGCAACGGTATTTGCGGAATCCGGAACAGTTTGCAGAATTCACAAACAAATAATATATATATCTTCTGAAATACTGACAGCTCGTTCCATTCATTTTTTCCTTTCTACAGCGCAGCGCACTAAAAGCTCAAATGCTGACAACACGTTTAGTTCAGTTCAAATCTCAAATGCGTATCACAAATACTGACAATACGAGACATTAATATCAACAAGACTGCTCGTATCAGGGTGAAGCCCTGAATTTTCCGACTGCCTTTTAAGGTTTATGGAGCAGCAGTAATAACATAAAAAATTAAATGAAATAAAATGAAATTAATTTTTTTTTTCTAAAACTTGAAGTTTTTAATGAAAATCATCCCCCCACACGCCATATAAAGTACAAAAAGATAGATTTCGTTCCTTGTAACAAATCAATTATGGCAAATTAGCTATTTCAACCAATTTGGAACGATTTATAAGACCGATTAATCTCCTTTTACGCGTGAATAGCGCGAATTATATCGCGCGTTAATTGTCCCAAATTGGTCAAAATGGCCAAAATGGCAATCTTTAAACCCTCATAACTTTACGAAAAATGATCACAGGTGAAATATTGTTTCAAATTTAAGTTCAGGACAACAATGGCTTTCGAATGATTAAAAAAATTCCGTCAAAAATGGCTAGTTAAAAAGTCGAACTTTGTCTGAAGAAAAAAAAACCCACCCCGAGCACAAATATTCCGTTACTTTTGTATCGAAAGTCGGAACAACAAGACTGCTCGTATCAGGGCGAAGCCCGGAAAGTTCCGACTGCCTTTTACTGTTTAAGGAGCAGTAATAACATAAACCACATAAAAAATTAAAAGAAATAAAATGAATGAAAAACTTTTTTTCTAAAATTTTAAAATTTTTCGATAAAACTCATCCCCCCACTCGCAATATAAAGTACAAAACAATAGACTTCGCTCCTTGTAACAAATCAATTATGGCAAATACGCTTCTTTCAACCAATTTGGAACGATTTCTAAGACGGATTAAACCTCGCTTACGCGTTAATAGCGAGAAATTTATCGCGCGTTAATTGTCCCAAGTTGGCCAAAATGGCAATCTTTAAACCCTCATAACTTTATGATCACAGGTAAAAAATCTTTTCAAATTTAAGCTTAAGACAACAATAGCTTTTGTATGATATAAAAAAACTCCATCAAAAATGGCTAGCTAAAGAGTCGAAATTGATCTGAAGAAAAAAAAACCCACCCCGAGCACAAATATTCCGTTACTTTTGTATCGAAAGTCGGAACGATTAAAATTAATTTTTTTTCTTGGTTTTTCGTAATGTGTTGGCGTTTGAAAGTAGCCACTTTGGCTTCCCGGCTTGACCTCCATACATGAAAAAAGCCTTTTTTATAGTTCCATTCTAAAAACCTGCTGATCAAACAAATTCATATATTGAATGTATGGAAAAAAGCTCCTATAAATTTCGTTTATGAGATTTGTATCAAAAATTTTTTTCCAAAGTAGCAATTCTGGGACAAAGTTTTTCTTTTTAGTTGGGCTAGATTTTTTTAAAGTAAATATTCGCTCTCCACGTAAAAAACATTCAGGTTTTTAGTTGTAGTTCTGGGTTATAATCAGCACGAACATTCTTGACAAGTCTTCGCTGTTAACTTGTGTGATTCGTGGCACTTAGTTATAGGTTGTGTTGTGAAAAAGAAAACCTTTGGAAATCAAAGCGACATTTATTTTCCATATGGTTAAAAAAATTGATCCTTTCTTTTGAGGCAAGATTTTTACAGTTGAGGCGAACTTTTTATAATTTTACAAAATGATTATCACATCAGGTGGCCTATTTTATGAGGAAAAAACCGATTACAGGAAAACTAAATTAAAACAATTAAAATCATTTTCCCAGAAACTTTGCAAAAGTTTCAAATGGAACAAAAAACTCAGGCCATTGAAACATAAAAGCAGAAATGAAATTTTAAAAACAATGTCAGATCAAAAAAGAATGAAAAAAAAAAAACTAAACACTTGAACGATACCTATTTTTTGAATAAATGTAAAGCCAGACAAAAAACAAAAAATTTAATCAAGCTTTGAATGAACTAATCAGCAAGATTGGCTGTTCTGCGAAGCTTCATTTTCTTCTAACTTTGATATAGATTATGTGCAAAAAACATTCAGCCAAAAAGAACGTGTGAAACTTCTTATTGGTTGAAAATTTTCGATTAATCGTTCCCTCTATCATGAGAGTAGCCGCTTTTACATCATTATGTACTTTGCAGTGTCAAGCTACATCACTTTGTGTTCGTAGATCACCTTCAAGGAATAAATATATATTTTTTTCCATTTTTTTTTTCAATTTTTTTGTTGCAAAATTTTTCAAAGTTTTTTTTGAAAATTTCCATCAATCTATTTTTAGGACGAACAACCAAACAAAAAAAAGAACATGCAATTTTATGAAAAAAAAATACGTAAGTTCACATGTTTGTCCCATGTTATTAAAACCTCGGGAGAAATTGCGAACCACAAGCGATTCACATGTCCAAACATGTAAAATCACATGTTTTTTACGGAATTTTTTTGATAGTCGCGCCGTCTCCATCTCGGTCTGGAAAGTTTGGAAATGGCTAAGTTTGGTCGCGCCTGTCACGCCGTTTCCTGAGCCGCAGGGCCGCGCCGTATCCGCCTCGGTCGCGAAAGTCGCGCCTGAGTTTTTCCGTCGCGAAAGTCTGAAAATGGCAACTCTTGGTCGCGAGAGTCTGAACATACCAAACATGAGTCGCGATATTCTGGTCACGCAACCTCCGCTTCGGTCGCAAAAGTCTGGAAATTCCAGGTTTTGGTCGCCAAAGTCTGTACATGTCTAATTTTAATTTTGGTCTGGAAAGTCTTGACATGCCAAAATTTTGTCGCGAAAGTCTGGACATGAGTCTGGGACCTCGACCCGGGCATCAATTGCAGGCAGTCAAAAACATCAAACTTGAGACTTTACATCAAAAACCTAAATCCCCTGGTAATAATTTTGTACTTTCAACATGTGAAAACAAAACATGTGATTTCGCCATGTGTTTTCACACATGTTGTTTGACACCTGTGATTCTACGTTTTGTTTCATGTACTTTCACATGTTTAAAATTTTACTTGTGACAAAAAACGCCCCAATTTACATGTGAATTTTGGCAACGCCCCATGTTTCGTCTTCTCAATCAAAGCTACATACGTCAGCGGATGATCCACTTGTAGAGGTCCAGGGCACAGCAATCACCGATCCTGCGAATGAGGCCACTGATCATGCCAAGAGTGACTCAACCCGGACTTCAGGACGCTCAACGAAACCGACGAGGTTTTTCGACGACCCTCTTCGCCATTCTATTAAGAGCGTCACGGAATCTTTGCCTATCGAATCTTCACAACAACTACCAGCCCCAGAGCAGACCCATACTACACCATTTGTCCCACTTGTTCGAAAAGGAGTCCAGCTGCCTTTCCCGAGGACGAAAGAACAAACTACACCGTTCAAAAGAATCAGAATTGAGGAGCCTGAGAATAACTCTTAAACTCAAAACTTGTTTGAAACTTGCGTAAAACTTCATACGATTTTGCCTTTCTGTTCGTCTGGGCCGATTCTCAGCAAGTGCAAAGGTGCTTTCCCATTCCATTCAGTACACGTCAAAACTTTATACTTTGATAATTTTTCTTCAAGAGGGGGAAATGTCATGAGGCGACCTTCGGTACCTCACTCTATTCTATTTACTTATATATAACTTATATAATTATGTCTTATCATCTATTCGCCATAGTGCTGTAATTTGACTCAAGGTCAAATCTCACCAGCATAATCGTCTGTCACTTGAGAATGTGAAACCGTCAGTTGCGAAACCCTGAGGTGTGAAATCTAGTGAAGAAACTTGATACTCTCCATTATTTCTGGAAACGTTAAATCTATACACCTGGCAATCTATATGGTTTACTAATTGAAAACTTGTTAATTGAATTTCTTTTACAACCCTACCAATCAGTATAAAATTCCATCGCCCGATTCAAAATTTTAAAAAAAATCTGTTTCTTTTCTAATTCTTTGCCTGTTTTCATTCTTTGCAGTTGTAAGAATCATTGTAAGAAGCCTTCCTTTTATTCAAAGTGTTCTTATTTTGTTTTGTTGTGTTTATCTAATTTATGGTTAAAGAAACTAATTTCAAACATCTGCGACTAATCTGTATGATGCACTTTCAATGCATCATCGGGGAAACTGACGAAACACCCTTCACAATGTATCTAATTTCGACGCTTGTATCATATAACTCAACCTGAAGTTCACCTGACTGAATCAACTTTCAAATTTGCACTTCTAAATGTGCATTTTCAGTTGCACCGCTCTTTAAAAAGATTGCTCGTATAAAGGCGACGCCTTGAATGTTCAGACTGCCTTTTCAGGTCTATGGAGCAGTAAATACATGAAAAAATTAAAAGTAATAAGAAAATA